CCCCCTCTCCCCCCTCTCCCCCTCGGAACTTCTAGCCATGGATCAGTTCTCCCACATGCTCAAGGAATACAAAAAAGACGTTGAAACAACGGGAGCAGACAACTGAGGTGTGGGCCGTGGGTCTCCAGCCGGTGGCTCCAGCCATCTTGCAGTCCATCCTCAGGGGCCCTGATATTCGCCCCTTGCCCAGAAGGCTGAAGGACTAACTGGTGCTGCTGTATTGCCTGACCTCACTCATCAAGCCCCTAAGCTGGTATCTGCCATCTTAGAAGGCTTGTTTCTTTTAGTCTTTGCTAGCTATTTTATATGCAAAAATGTTTTTAAGGTGATGGGAGTGGGAGGGCCTAAAGAGCCCTGGAGGGGTAAAGGGAATTCCCTGGATCCCTTTTTAGATGGCTTTGTTTTATATTCAGCATTTAATAAATATCACTCTCTATTCTCTCCGATTCTTTATTTCTGGTTCACATTCCTTTTTGGAGATGATTCCCCCCCCCAAGTTCTTTGGTAAGCTTAAAAGTGAAGAATGCTGTCTGGGAGAGATCTGGGGTGGTAGCTGAGATAAGAGTACTTTGCTCTGTAAGCATGAGGATCTAAGTTCAAATCCCCAGCACCCCATGTAAAAACCTAGCCATGGCTTTTAGTACCCATATCCTTAGCACTGGGTGGCGAGGCACAGACAGGCAGACCATAATATCTCACTAGCAATTGAGTCTGGCTGAAATGGCAAGAATTCCATTTCAGTGCAAGGTTGAAACACTTACAGGAAGATTCTCGAAGTCCTGTTCTGACTTCAAGTTCTGTGCACATGTGGAAACACACACACAGAGACAGACACATGGACGATGGACACATGGACGATGGACACACGGATGACGGACACACGGACGACGGACACACGGACGACGGACACAGGGACGACGGACACAGGGACGACGGACACACGGACGACGGACACACGGACGACGGACACACAGATGGACGATGCACACACAGAGACGACACACAGACACAGGCACCCTTACTCTGGAACATATACACACCCCCCACACCTCCACACACATGAACACATATCTGTAGCCCTGTCTGGGGCAGGGCTGTAAAGGGAAGAAGTGACTCATAGCTGGATGCTGAAGAAGCACTAAGTGTTACTGTGTCATCTTTATAAGCTCACATTCTCCGTCCATATGAGTGGCTGAAGGACTGGATGGGTGTATTGTCGGTGTTCTCGCATCCAAATGCCAGAGACCTTTCCTAAAGGCGTTAGGATGAATCTTGGAATATTACTTTGTTCCGCTGGCTATAAAAAAATACCAGAAAAGTGAGTAACTTATAAAGAATGAAAATTTCTAGAAGCTGCAAAGTCCAAGATCAAGAACCTGAGAAGTGTCTGGTGAGGCTCATCTTATTTCTCCCTATGACATTACATGACTGGAGGGCTGGGGCTCCCTCTGCTTTCATGACCTGATCACTTCCCAAGGGCCCCACCTGCTACTGCCATCATTTTAGGGGGTGAGGATTTCACATATGCATTGCGGTGTTTGGGAGCACAAACCCCAGTTGGCAGAAGTGACACTTCCCACTGTTTAGATTGCACTCACTGGAGTTTCTGTGATGCCCTTGCCTATCAGGGACTGTGAAATGCACAGAACAGGGAGTCAAAAACCTTTTGTGAATCACGCAGTGGTGGCACACGCCTTTAATCCCAGCACTCGGGAGGCAGAGGCAGGCAGATCTCTGAGTTAGAGGCCAGCCTGGGCTACAAAGCGAGTTCCAGGATGGCCAGGACTGTTACACAGAGAAACCCTGTCTCAAAACCCTTTTGTGGAGGATGGAAAAACTTCTAGTACATGTTGACAGTTTTGATCAGTCCCTTGGATTTCTGACCCACCCACTCTCCCCTGGAGCTGACTTGTCCCACTTCTTTTCCTGGCTTTTAATACAACCCAGGCTGGCCTTGAACCCATCATCTTGCCTCAGCTTCCTCAGTGCTAGGACTACAAGTACGTATCATCAGAGCAGTTAGGTCCTCCTCGTCCTTACCCTCCTCTCCCCCCGCCCCCAACAAAGGGAAATGTATTGCTCTTCTCAAGCAACTTAAGGGTGGGTTTTTCTGGTTGACAGTTTGAGGTTTCCATGAACCACGGTGGAGAAGGCAAAGGCATGGTGCTGAGTGTGGCCCTAGCTGTGGGAGCAGGAACGTGAGGCAGTTGGGCAAGTTGCATCCACAGCCAGGAAGAAGAGGGAAATGCTGCTGCTCACCTCACTTTCTCTTTTCTTCTTCAGCCTGGGACCCCACACACATTAACCCAAGTTAATCCTCTCTGGAGGAATCCCCATAGACACACCCAGAGTTGTGTATTCTAGGTGATTCTAAATCCAGTCAAGTTGGTTATTGAAATTAACTACCACATGGAGCAGTTCAATCAGGACTGATCTTCAAGGCAATACTAGATAAGGCTCTTTGGAAACTGATTATGAAACAGACATGGTGGTATATACCTGTAATCCTAGTACTCAAGAGGCTAAGGCAGAATTGTGGGTTCAAGACCAGCCTGGGCTATATACTGAGATCTTAGGCAGAGAGAGAATTTGTTAGAAGAGCCCAGGAGACCAGAAACACTCTCAGGACCTCTGTAGAGGAAGACAGCAGTCTCGCTGGTACTGGATGGAAGGAATGAATTACGCCTTCCATGGAGGCGTCAGTCTGTTTCCAAGTCGGTCAACTCAATATTCAGATGGTGGCACTGGTGACATGTCTCAGTGAGTAAAGGCACCTGCTGCCTGAGTGTGGTGCCCAAGCCCCCCCCTCCCCGTGGTGGGAGGGAGAACTGAGTTCTGTAAGATGTGCTTGGACTTTCATATGCAGATGGTGACACATGCACAAAGTAAACGTAATAAAAAATATTGATGTTCTGGACATTTCACTTTCTTGTTAACATTTGGTGTTTGTGTCGTTGCTTTTTTCATTGCTATGACAAAATACCTGAGAAAATCGACTTGAGAGCAGAAAGGCCAGGCATGGTGGTGTATAGTAGCATATGCCTGCAATCCCCAGAGGCAGAATGAACACTAGTTTGAGGCCAGCCTGAATTATCTAGGAAATGCTAGGCCAGCCATGGTTGCACAGTGATACAGCGAGACACTGTCTCCAAAGACTTAGAGGGGCGGTGCTAATTTTGGCTCACGGCTTTGATGGTTAATATTGATTGACCAAATCTGGATTCAGTCAGGAGGCAAGTGAGATTTTCCTGACTGGGTTAATTGAATTGGGAAGATCTACCCTCAATGTGGGTGGCACACTCTGGTGGCGGGCAGAGGGAAGAGTTTTGCTCTTTTGCCTGCTTGCCTTTGTGCCTCACTGGTGAGTTTATTTGATTTTTAAGCCATCTACTCTGCTGTTGCCTCTGCTACCATCGTCGCGGCCACCCTTCACTACCATCAAAGCCAAACTTCTTCAGCCTTCCAATGTGGACTAAAGTCCAGTGGCTCTCCCAGAACTCTAGGCCTTCAGTATTAGGGTTCGGTAGAGGAACAGAACTAATAGAATATATATTATATATTCATATATATATTTCATTTTATATATATTCATATATATATATATTATGATTTATTTAGAGTGGCTTACAGGCTGTGGTTCAGCTAGTCCAACAATGGATGTCTCTTGATGGAAAGTCCAAGAATCCAATAGTTGTTCAGTCCACGAGGCTGAATGTCTCAGCTTCAGTACACCTCAGAATCCTCAAGAAGCAGGCTCTAATGTCAGTGAAGGAGGGCCTCAGCAGCAAGATCTCTGAGCTTGCCAGTGAGACGAGAATGGGGGTGAGCAGGCAAAAGCAAAAGCTTCCTTCTTCCACGTCCTCTATAGAGGCTGTCACAAGGTGTGGCCCAGACTTCAGGTGGGTCCTCCTACCTCAAATGGTCCAATTAACTAAAAATTCCTCACCGATGTGTCCAGCTGCTTACGTTTTTAGTTAATTCCAAATGTAGTCAGGTTGACAGACAAGAATAGCCATTACAAGTCAACTTGATACACCATCATATCTTATGTCATGCTTAATTTCCAAGTGAAAAGAAAATGAGGTCATGATTACACCTAACATAACTATCCCACATCCAACGGCAAACACATTATGTATTTTAGAATAGGTGGCAATATCCCTTGAGGGACATTATTTTTTTAGTATCTCATAACTTAAATATGAGAACCACCGATATTATCTTAACTGATGTTACATTACATGATAAAGAAGTTGACTAAAGAAAACCAATATCTGTACAAACCCATTCTTAACAAAGTGTAACAGGCACATTCATGTTAATTATAATCCTCATTGCAGCAAGTGGTTATATGGCCTTAGCTGGTATTTATAGTTACCTCTCTCTACTACCCCTTCTGTACTTCCTCTCCCCTTAGGGAGCACCTCAGCCGGTCTCGGTTCTTTTCCTGGAGGAGTGACCCACACCTTCATTCCTGATGGGTCTGTGCCTTTTGTCAGCCTGCGTGGATCAGGCTGCTGTAGTTTCCTATTGACTTTAATCAAGTCACGGTAGCACCACAAGACACCCTAAAGGATCGTCAGAGGGTTTTTATTGCTGTGAAGAGACACCATGATCGCGGCAACTCTTAGGAAAACATTTAATTGGGGCTGGCTTATAGTCTCAGAGGTTTAGCCCATTATCTTC